GCTGGGCTGGGGATGTGGTTCAGGGGTTGAGTGCCCCTGAATTCAATCCCTGATACCAAAAAACAAACAAACAAAAAAAAAAAAAAACAAACAAACAAACCTCACAATGTCACAATGGCTCTTTGTGAGGTCAGAGCCAGATAACCACCCAGTGGTTATCTCATTATGGGCCTCCAGGGCCTTTCTCACTTTCATAATAAGAATAAGAAAGAACTCTGAAAGTGCTTTTGTTTCAGTGGGTTTTGGAGACTGATATTTTCTTGTTTAGAATTTAAAATCTGTAGGATACTTCAATGGTCTTTTCATTTTGAGTCTGAAAATCTGTAATCACTTTGTGGCTTTGAAAAATCTCATCACATCTACACTCAAGTTTCTGCTTCTTTATTGCTCTGAACTGAGCAGCTTTCCTCCCCTGGGCCCTTATCCCATGATGGACTACCTGTCCTTGGGCAGAGCAATGGAGTCAGTCATCTAGGAACCACAGCGCATAATAAATAAGAGCCCAGTGAGTTGGCCCCCACTAGATGTGCCCTGTGTGAGGGGAGTGGTCCATGTTGCATTGAAGAACATTAGATAGGAACTAAGATCTTGATAAAGGCAGAAAGATCCCTGGTAAAGCAAATTCATGACAATTATAAAAGCTAGCGCTACTTTTCTTTTCTACAAGGGTGAGAGAATAGCGTATCAGAAGACCCCAATTTTATTTCATGGTATTGAATAAATGCCATATGTAACAAGGTAACATGAGTAACTGAGGAAGAAGGGTTGGAGAGCCATGTCTGTGCATTGCTATGGATTCAGGCCAGAGTAGCATCTATTTCTCATGTTAAATGAAACTTCTGTGAGAATCTCTTTCTTAGCCTTACCAGGCTTCTTTAGAAAATAAGGTGTGTGGGTGCCAAGACCTTGAGTCAGGGCTCAGAGACCTTGGGACTTGAGATCCACTGGCACTTGGGAGTTGAAGAAGTCACAGTGTAGGATGACAGAATTCTAATGGCACCCTATATCCTGTCCAGCAGGACATCAAAGCAACTCAGAGTAAACCAGAGCTGTATCCTGGTTCCGCTGGTGTACACACCTGGGACTGAGTACCAGAGGTGGTGCATCCTGCCTGCCCTGCCAGAAACTGGTGAGCCTGAGTATCCTGTAGGCTGTCAGCTGTAGCCAGTCAGCATCTGGATTCACATCACCTCATCCACTGGCCCCAAATGTCCTACCATGTAAGAAGAAAAGGATGAAACAAGCATCTCCCCTCCCATAGTGTCACCCAGCAGCAGCTGGGAGATCCAGTTGTAGTCTTCTTAAAAAGTGTTCATTTCTCAGGATACAGCAGGACCTTCAACTAAGCTTCATAATAATCTTTGTACTTTTTTGAGCCCTTATTATGTCTTACACACTAGAAAGGATATGCATTCTCTATTTGAAACAACATAACAATCCCAAACTTAAGTATCAAGTATCCCAAACATTAGTACTGCTAAATATTATTCATTGGTTTTATACAGCGACAAATAAGTTTGAAAAATGCTGATCATCAATTCAGTGATATAAATGGTAATTCTCCAAAAATGGAATCCATGTAAAATTTTCCAACCTTAGTCCTAGGGCAACTTGGAGTAACTGGGTATTTTAAGGAACACAAAATTAAAGCTTGAGGAGATGGTATTTAAGTGCGTCAACAGACAATATGGTGTCTTATACGTGGTCTAAGAAACATTTGAAAATAGGTCGAGTTTAAGCCATCATGGTGGAACTCATGCCACTATCTTTGAAAATGGAAACTCATGATATACAGGGATGGCCAATGATTTCTTAAAGTAGCTCTGTTCATTCTCATAAGAGTGGCATTCTACTTTAAAACTCTCCAAAGAAGGCTGTGATGATATCATATGAGCAAGGAGCTTCATCTGCTTCTCACTCCAAGTCACATGTGCAAAGTAGAAAGATGCCAAACCACTGGGAGGTTCCCAGGCTGCCCCTCTGCTGTGTCCACGTTCTCCAAGAATTTGAAAGGCTCTTTCCAGAGTGCAACACTGCATGGGGCCAAGGACCAAAGCCACTAGGTATACTGATACCCCAGAACCCATACAAGCTACAACCCAAACCTTGTTCTGTTTTTCTAAATTTGCATCCTAAAGACACCCTTCTTTCCTTTTCTCCTTCTTATATCATCAAAATATTTCAGTCTGTTTTTGCAACATTTACACATCTTTTATACAACTTCATATTCATTTCACCCAATGGCTTTGAAGAACTTCCATTTGTGATTAAAATATTTCACATCTTCTTAACTCTCTAGTGATTCTGATAAGATTAAAATTGACCATATGTTTAGGACTTGGGACAGATCAGAAAGGAACTTTCTTATCATAGTGTAAAGGTTACCTTAGTTAAATACAACACTATCCTAAAGCTGGGCCTTATTTTGAAAATGGTATAATCATGTTATTATAAGTTATTATGTATTCATTAAATTATATATTCATCAACATGTATGGGATGGTGGCAAGCCTGGGTCTGAGCATTATCCAACTTACATCTTAAGTTGAACCTTTAGCCCTCTCTGAGGGACCTACTACAGCTCATATTCACATTTGTGAAAGTGAAGCACAGGATGTTAAATCAGGAATTGTAGCTCACACAGCCTGTCTTCCAGAGTCTCAGTGTTAACAAGAAATTCTCAACAAACAAACCTTTTACTAGTAAAATTGTCATTTGTATGACCATGGTCTTCATAAGCAAACAACATTCTCAACTGAAATAGTAATTGGTCCATGCTAGCGCTGCTTTCTGACCAACTCTTCAGGACATCCTTGGAATCATTTCACTCTGGACAAAAATTTGTTAATGGAGCCAGATTATTATAAGACTAAAATTTTTAAAAATTGAACTATAAAACTTGGAGTTATTTTAAATGCTCCCATCCCCCAAAATTGTGATAGTAGAAGCAAATGTAACTCCATTTTGGTTTATGACTTCATCCTGTAAAACAACCATGCCAAGTAGAAGAGTCATGACTGGGGCAAGATGTTCTTTTCCTATTGCTATAGAAATCTTTAAGAACACGGAACTACCTAATGGGACATTTGTTTCTGTAACTAGGGGTGACTGGGCTGTGATTGGTTAGGCTTCCCTCCACTTGACTGCACTGTCCCGTTTCTGTAACCTGGCTTGCTTGCATTGGCTAGACCCCCTGAACATTCCTTTTGCGGTTTTCAGGCTTATAAGGAGTGCCCTTGCAATTGTTCTGGTCAGCTGCCACAGGTGTGCTTCAATAAAGGCTTGATTCTATTATACGTGAGTGCCACAGTCTGGCTGGGCACAATCAGGAGCCACTTGTCAGAAGAAACTAACTTTATTTTTAGAACCACACACGCCAAACAAAACAGCCTCTCAGGAAAAACCCTCAGAGCCTCAACTGCCACCACCGGCTTTCCACAAGCCTCTCTCTCCCACACAAGCTTCTCTCCACCTCCCACAATCCTCCTGCTCTTGAGGCCCATTGGCTGGGTCACGTGGGCGGAGCCAAAAAAGTCCCCCAATGAGCAGCTCCGTGGTCTGAAAGGGCAGGGAAACAGCCCAATGAGCATCACCGCAGAGGAGCCAATCAGCTAGATGTTGCTGGGGCCGCTGTGAGCCAATCATCAGCCGGCAGCTGGAAGTTTGCTGGCAGCTGGAAGTTTGCTGGGGCCCCTTCGGCTGTGGCTCTCAACACATGAGTGGTTTGGAAGTCACTTTTTGAAACCCTGGGACGAAGCTTTAACTATAACAACATAAAATTTTCACAGCTATATTTGGCATCTTGAAAGCAATTTTCTGGATAAACTTGATTGGAGAAAATCTATGTTATATTACGATATTTATTCAAATATATTTATTCAAATACGATAATATGAAGCTTACAAATAATAACATATGGTTAAAACAGCTAGAGTACTTTTACTAAAAGCACTTTTGTTTGTTTGGAGAGGTATCAATTTCTGACCACTAAAGGTAAGGGCAGGAAGAATTTGCCAGAGCCACAGAGATGCCAGGGCTGGAAGGTTCAGGAAGCCTCCTGTGTTAACTTGAGCATTTCTTACTTTTTGTGTGAGTGTCCACAGAACTCAAGATGTGAAATCTCAAGGATGTATTTACATAAAAGCAAAGTGCACCCATCTCCACTCCCCAAATCCCAGGCATTCACTCATGACCTTCAGCTGCCACCAGGAGAGATTGTCAGGTGAGGAGGCTGCAGGGCAGTGGTAAGGCACCCAGCCACTGCGACAGGCGGGCTTCACTGCACATGGGATTATGGAGATGAAGCCACAGAATATACTGTTCTCCAATGCCTTGCCAGAGACTTCTTAAACAGCTGCAACCCACTGTCCCCACACACTTCAGGGAGGGGCCTGAAGACGAGGAAAAGGTCTGGTCAAAGTGACCAGCTCAAAGTGAATCAAGTCGACACTGTCTCAAGGGGAGCATCTCCATCTATACTCCATCAAGGGGATCAAGTCCCCATTTATATTGGCTTAAGGCAAGTGACTCCCCTTCTACCCTGGCTCAAGTTGAGCGACTATATAATGAGCAGTAGAGGGAGGCACTGTGGTCCAGGCCTTGGAGAGGATAGCTACTGGGCTCTGGCTCTAGTCCTTAGGCCTTTCTCTAAAAAAAAAAATCAAAACCCGCAATTTTTTAAATCTTTGAAACAATTTATTATACAATGTTAAAAAAAAGAAAATGAAAGAAAATGAAAATAAATTTCTCCCAAAGCATGGAAGAAAGGATAAAGAGCAGGGCAGGGGGAAGGAAGTGTCCCAGGGAAAAGTCTCTATGATGTGTTCCACAGAGAAAAGTCTCTTAGGATGTGTCTTCGCAGGTGGGGGCAGAGGAGTCTTCTAGTGGATGCAGATGTGCTCCTGCCTGGATCTGTGTAGAGAAGCTTGAGCCCGTCAGCACACCTCACTTCCACACCATGATGTCAGCATCCGCACAGCTTAGCATCTTCCTGCTGTCCATCAGTTCTGTCTGTCTGGGCTGGGCGTTTCCACTGGAGCCACTCTCTTTCTGGAGAGTGGCCCATGGAAGCAGGGTATGCAGCATAGCTGCCGGAGGCATTTGGCGATCCTCCTCCTCACCCTCTTCCAACCCCAGCTTCTGTCTGGGGGTTGCCTTGTGGAGGTCTCTTGGGAGGGTGAGGGGCTGGGCACTGGGTTAGGCTGGGATGCTAGGCTGGGAGGCGGTGTGTCCTTGAGGAAGCGGAGTGTGATGGTGGGCATGCTGGCACTTCTAGCAGGCTGCTGCTGCTGCTCACAGGGCAAGGGAAGGGCAGGCTCACTGGGAAACTTTTTCTGGCAGACCCAGGGAGGATCTTCAGGTCCTGGGAAATGCTCGGAATTCACCTGGACTGGGGAGGCCTCCCCGTGGGTGCTCTGGTGCTGGAGGATGCGGTAAGTGGCCATTGCATCATTGAATTTCCTTCTCACCACGGACACCCAGGTGTTATAGTGGTCATAACCCATGTCGATCATCGTTTTCAAGATTGTGAGGTCCGGGACTTTGGGGAGTACCTCACAAGGAGAACTGGGTGAAGCTTCCTCACCCTGGGTCAGCCATGGGTGCCCCATTACCTGGTCTATGGTGGGCCTCTGCTTGGGGTCCACTTTGAGTATCTCACGGATGAGGCTCTGGGCTTCCTTGGAGACATGTGAAGGAATGATGTACCTTCCCAACTTGATGAGTTTCTTCAGCTTACTATGGGTGCTTGCCTCAAATGGCCATATCCCTGTGAGCATTGCATAGAGGACCACACCCAAGCTCCAGATGTCTGCCGGGGGGCCCTCATATTCTTGATGACAGATAATTTCAGGGGGAATATAGAGGAGAGTGCCAAAGAATTTATTCAGCTTCTTTCCAGCTGTGACTCTGGTGCTCAGGCCAAAGTCAATGAGCTTCACATTGCTGCAGTCATCCACCATCACATTCTCCGGCTTCAGGTCCAGGTGCACGATGTCCTTCTGGTGGCAGTACTGCACAGCCCGCACGATCTGCCTAAACAGTCTGCGGGCCTCCTTCTCCTCCATGCCAGTTTCTGGGATGAAATCCCAAAGCTCTCCCCCACCTGCATGCTCCATGATAAGGTAGACATACCTCTCGGTCTCCATGGCCTGAAAGAGGTGGATCACATTTGGGTGGTCCAAATCCGCCATAATTTCTGGTTCAGAGAGGCAGGTGAATTTCGTGGCTGCTTTTTCCAAGACCTTCACTGCAACCTCTGTCCCAGTAAGAAGATGGCGGGCAAGTTTCAACTGGGCGAAGGCCCCTTCCCCAATGTCCTGCAGGACCATATAATGGTCCGTGAAGGCAGGCTCAGAGCAAGAGCTCTGCTCCTGCAGCGCTACTCTGCTCTGACTACACTGATCTCTCATCCTAAACAGGAACAAGGATGCTAGCTAAACTAAAAAAATAATAATAAACCAAAACAAAAAACCAAAATAAAAAACCAGAAAATGAAAGCAAAGAAAACAAAAGGGGAAAAAAAAACCAAATCAAAAAACCCAATATCCAAAGACCACAACCAGCCACCAACCACCAACCACAAACCACCAACCACCAACCACCACCAAACGCTCTAACTATCTGGGAGTCCGACAGGTCACCACCAAGAGCTTCCTGTACTTATGGACAAAAAACCCAGCCACGGCCACTCTCTTATATACCCGCAGTTTGAGATCGCCTCACAGTGGCTCCTCGTGAGGTCAGAGCCAGAAATGACTCAGGCACACCCAGGCATAACCCCCAGGGGTCATCTCACATTTGGGCCTCCAGGACCTTTCCAACTTTCATAATAACTTTCCAACTTTCATAATAGAAAAAGAAAGGACCCTGGAAGGTTTTTTGCTTCAGTGGGTTTTGGAGACTGATATTTACTTGTTTAGAATTTAAAATTTGTACGATATTCAGTGGTCTTTTCATTTTGAGTCTGAAAATCTGTAATCACTTTGTGGCTTTGAATGACCTCATTATATCTATGCTCAAGATTTCTGCTTTATTCCTCTGGACTGAGCATCTTTCCTCCACTGGGCCCTTACTCCATGATGGACTACCTGTCCTTGGGCAGAGCAATGGAGTCAGCCATCAAGGAACTGAGACCTCTGAAACTATTAGCCCCACAGAATCTTCTCCTCCTCCAAGTTGTTCTTGTTGGATATTTTGGTCAAAGAAACAAGAGAGATAATTAAAACACAGCCATACATCACTGCACAGCTTGATAAATGAAATTGTGTATGTGTGTGTGTGTGTGTGTGTGTGCCCACACTTGTGCAGTTCTGGGAAATGAACCAGGTTCTTACACATACTGGAGAAGCTCTTGTAATGTGCACATCCCATCCCTGGGGTTGGGGCTTTCTGGCCTAACCAGCTCTCAATCCTGTTACATTGAGGGTGAACTGAATACAGGAATTTTGGAGGGATACCTACATTCAAACCAGAGCACATGATAAACAAGAACCCATAGAATTGGTCCCCACTAGATGTGTCCTGTGTGAGGGGAGTCCTTCATGTTGCACTGAAGGACTAATATTAGATAGGAACTCAGATCTTGATGGAGAGAGAAAGAAACCTGGTAAAATAAATTTGTGACAATTATAAAAAAAGCTAGTGCTATTTTTGTTTTCTACAAGACAGAATAATATGAAAGCACCCCAGTTTTCTTCTATGGTATCAAATAAATGGCATATATAACACTGTAACATGAATGAGGGAGAGGTGTAGAAGAGGTACAGAAGCCTCATCTGTATACTACTGAAGTCATGTTGCTAAAGATTCACACCAGAGTGGCATCTCTTTCTCATTTAGATGGAACCCCCATGGGAAACACACGGAAGTCCTTGTAGAGCATACCCAACATGAGAGGTTAGGGAATTGAAATGTTTCACCACTATCATGAACTAAATAGGAGGAAAGATAATCAAATAAAGAAGCAAGGCATATTAAATAAAAGCTTGTGATGTTCTTCTTATAAGGACACAAGGCATGCTGACCCAAGGGTCCATCCTTTTGTCCTTATAAGGACAAAAGCCACAGCAAACCAAAGGCCTTGTCCTGATCTCCTTATAAGGACACATGCCATTCTAAACCAGGGCCCCTCCATGATCTCCTTATAAGGGCATAAGTCAAGGTGAACCAGGGCCCCACCCTGATCTCCTTAAAAGGGCACAAACCAAGCTGAACCAAGACCCCACCCTGATCTCCTTTTATGACACAAACCACATTGAACCAAGAGCCCCATCCTGATCTCTAGAGACAGAAAGACCCCTCCAGAGAAACCCAGAGCTGGTGCCCCTGGTAATGGGGGCGCCTTGCCCCTTATAGAGTCAGCCATCAAGGAACTGAGACCTCTGGAACTGTTAGCCCCACAAGGTTTAAGTTTTCCTTTATTCTCAAGCCTATATGAATAAAAGGCAGAAAAAGACCAAAGGTCAGGGAAGGGCCATCCAGGAGTGACATGTATCATCCATCTTTTCTGTGGGAAATCAGATCTCTAGCCAGCCCATCATCCCTGGAATGTGTTGGTAACAAGGTGGCAAGAAAACTCTACCTCCTCTCCTGAATTCAGTCCTTATCATGGATTAAGCCAATTTTGAGAGAGGAATCCTTGGTGCTGGCTGGACCAGTGGCAGGGAACCTGCAGAACGTTCTGAACATCAACAGAACCCAAGCTCTCTCCAGGGCAATGCAGTTGGGCACAGAATAACAGGCCGCCACTGGGCAAGCATGCTGAGAGCAGTGACCCACACCAAACCTCCATCTACCCCACAGCCCTCCTTCTCCTTAGGATCTCCTCCACTGGCCTCATGCTTCTTCCAGAGTTTCACAGTTTTGTGGACTCAAATTGTTTGGCACATGTTGTTTGGGGCTAAAGGACTCTTGAGACTCTTCCTTAGCCTCATCAGTCATCTTTAGAAAATAAGGTGGGTGGGTGCCAAGACCCTGGCTTCATAATAACCACTGTGCCTTTTATGAGTGCTTACTATGTTTGATGCACTAGAAAGGATGTGCATTCTCTCTGAATCAACATAACAATCCTGAACTGAAGTACCAAGTATCCCAAACATTGGTACTACTAAATATCTATTGGTTTTACATGATGACAAATACATTGGGAAAGTGCTGATAGTCTAAACAGTGATGGGAATTCTCCAAGAAGGGAGTTCATGTACAGTTTTCCAATCTTACTTAGTCCTAGAGCAACTTGGAGTAATTAGGTATTTTAAGGAACACAAAACTGTGGCTTTAAAAGACCTCATTACATCTACTCTGAAGGTTTCTGCTTTGTTGCTGTCCTGAACCCAGCAGCTTTTCTCCACTGGGCCCTTACCCCATGAGGGACTACCTTCCCTTGGGCAGAGCAATGGAGTCAGCCATCGAGGAACTTAGATCCTAGAACTGTTAGCCCCAGAGAAGCTTTTTATAATGTCATGGATGTACCCAGAAGATTAAGTTATCTAATGCCATCTTACTTTGTAAAATACTTCTTCTTTTTTTTTTTTTTTTAATTGGCATAACCTCTGTGTTTAGTAGAGTTTATTTCTGTCACTGAGGGCTAAGTAATCATTCTAGCAAACGGATCAAGTCTGCCCATCTAGGATTTTAGGAAAATCTGTAAGTCTTCAATTGAGTAAAAAAAGCTTCTGACTCTTTTGATAGTTATTAGGAACTACTAAGAATTTTTCATAGTCTCCAGTCTTACTTACTCTTGGTGGGGCTGATACAAAGGTACATCTTAAGTTACACTAAAAGACCTATTATCTTTCCTTTTAAGTGCCCAGGCATGGCTGTATTTTGGTTATAAGCTCTAGTCAGGTGTTTAAGACCAAATTGTTCAAATTGATCTTATTGTTTTCTACTGTTAAGAGTCAGCTGAGTTTCCTCAGAGGGTCACTCTTGGAAACTTGGGAGAAGCTTTTTAGCTCCTCTGGTACCATCTGACAGGATAGGTCAGGACTTTTGTCCACGTGGCTTTCCTTGGAAACATTAGAGACATTTCCCTCTCTGATGACCCTCCTCTTTGTAGCATGTACACTGGTTTGCTTTCTCTTCTCTAGGATTTAACTGATCCCCCTGATTGGGAGCTCATGTTTCCCAGATCTCAGAGGGCAAGAGCCAAATATTGGCTATTTTATTCTTGGCCCTTTTACTTCTTTTCCTTTAGTCTCTAAGTTTTCATTTTAAATATACAAAGCCAGTTTCACCATCTTAAAATAAGAATACTGGGCTTTAACTTTAATGTCTATAACTTCACAGTTCTTTCCCCCTTCCTTTGAGTTGGGGCCAGTGTTAGTACTGGAAGTCAGCTTATATCATGTCTATCTTATGGGTGATGGCCTATTATTTCAAATTAACTCTGGTTGTTATATTAGAAGTTGCACTTTGCAAGGCACTAGGGGGCAATAGTTTTAAAATTTACAAGAAAAATACAAATTGAAATTATCAAGAGTAAAAACATTGAATTTATATAATAGCTATGAACAAGAAATATAATTTTCCATAATGATAAATCTTTACTTCAAACTTTAAAGAAAACCAGGTTGGTAGAATGTAATAAACCTTGTATTTTAAAGACTTTTACACTTAGAAGATATGAATACAAAGAAGCCAGTAACAGCACCACAGTTACACTGACATTAATAAAGTTCAATTTTTAAAGAAAAATTCAGAACCTGTAGTATAATACTCTGAAACTACAGTTGTTTAACTAGAGCTGTGCAAACCTAATTCCATTAAGACTAGTTTCTCTAAAGAATAAAACTTAGCAGATATAAGAAATTCCCTTATTGGATAAGAGCAGATTAACATTTTTGAGAAATTTTTGTTACTTTATCACATAAAGGTTTAAACTTTGGCCTTAGGAAAAGGCTTTTGACCTTAGGAAAAACCCTCCACAAACCTTCTGCAACTTACTTAGACATCCTACAACTGTTTCCTTTAGAACACAAAAGCCTTTTTTATCCATAAACATTTCTTCTTTTCATTCTATTTTCATACCTAGAACATTACTATATCTCTTTCCTAGCTCTTAACCCCTTTCCAAATTCACATTTTGAAATAATATTTATAAAATTTCTGAATTTAGACTAATTACTCCACTTTAATAGATGAAATACTTTGTTTTTTATAGTACTTTAATTGAAACCCAACTGAACTCTTCTGTACCCTTTGTATATAGAATTATACCTGATAGCATCTTAACTCAGTAACCTTGTTTTTAAAGGTTAGACACAGAAACAAAGCATTCTTAAACATTTTTCTATTTAAATAGCAAATATTTAAAGAATTTGGGAGCCTGTGAAGTCCTCAGAAAAAGGTTTTTAAGAAAAAGAAAGTTTTTACATTTGAAATATTTTCATTTTTTTCTCTTTTTGTGTTA